ACTACCTCCGATCGAACAGGCTTTTTCAGACATATTGTTAAGGTCCTAAAATGTACAATTAGTTTGTAAAGTTAACTGGATTGTGGGACAGGTTAAAATTGTCTAGTCTGCACATGGAAAATAAGTTTGAAAAGTTTACTGGATTATGAGACAGGGTAAAATTGTCTAGTGTGTACATGTACAATAGGTACGTATTGTTAACTGGAATATGGGACATGTTAACATTGTTTTATGATGTTATAATTTAAAATGCAACTTTGCCTACGATAATAAAAATAATCAAAGATGGTCAGTACGAATAACCGACCCTTCACTTAATCGGTTTTCAGGAACATTAACGCTCTACCATATATTAAAAACTAAAAGTCATTCAGATAAAATAGTTAATCCTTTTCTAAATCTTAATTTCTTATTAGATTGAAACACAGAAGTGTCTTGAGGTTCAAGGGAGCGTTGCATCTTTGAAGAGATTTATTCAAGCCCAGATCATTCTTATATTACAAGAGCTTCCAGGATTTGATAAAAACTATACATTTTTCAATCCAGGTTATTTTGACTGTCTATTGCACAAATTAACTCATTTATTTAGGATTTTCAAAAAATTTATGTACTTGCTGTTGCGAAAGTTAGGCTTTTAAGTTAATACTTTCAATTAGCCCCCTCCACCATATACATACAGATGGCGTATCTGGCCTTTTGATGTAAATATTAGTTACATGTTGGCATTAAGGTAAAACTTGTGACATTTTGCAAGAACTATAAGTTTGTGCAGCGAGGTTAAATCAATAAATTTTTTATATGTGACAGATAATGTGAATGGAAGAAATTACAAATAATACAGCATTTTTTTTATTTGTTATATATTCCATGTTTTGTATTGCATGTGATATGACGTGTTTATAGCTAATTGTAGTTAAGGTTCTTGAGTGTAGTGCATTCAAAATAAACTAGGGTGAAGGCAAAGTTGAATTATTAGGATTTGTTGCAGGTAACACGAAGTGGCCATAGCAGGGTTCGTGATTTCTTTCGCGTCTTGCCGAATTGGTTGTAGCACAGTTTTAGGATGTATTTCAATAAATATGCGATACTTTTAACACGGTTCATTTAGGTTTTGGGATGTATGTTTCTGGCAATATGAATAGGCTGTAGCACAGTTCAGTCACGGTTTGTGATGCATCGCACTTAATGTGAAGAGACTGTAAAGCAATGCAGCCAGTGTGGTGTGATATACTGCAGATAATATGAATGTATGGCGCGACAGTTCACTCACGGTCGTATGTAATATAATGAGTATGATATTTTGCAGGTGCTATGAAGTGGTTGAGCCACAGCTGAGTCTAGAAGAAGTGGTTGAGCCACAGCTGAGTCTAGAAGAAGTGGTTGAGCCACAGCTGAGTCTAGAAGAAGTGGTTGAGCCACAGCTGAGTCTAGAAGAAGTGGTTGAGCCACAGCTGAGTCTAGAAGAGCGTTGCGTGCACTTAATATGACGTGGAGTTAACACATTTTTTTTCAGTTCTGTCGCATATTTCAGATGAGGTAACTTTCTCAAGAAGTGGTCTGACCTGAGGCCTTAAAGCCGTCTTATTATAATGTCACAGCAGCAGGTCATTTCATCATGTCATGACAAAGTCGTATTTGGTCATGGTTATACAATTTTAAAGCAGTCTACGTCATCTAATTAAAATATTACAGCAGGTCATGTCATCTGATTATAATTTTATTACAAGTTAACTTACATTTTGTTTTTTGCAAACACTTAACAAAAATGCAACAACAAGAAAAGTTTTTAAAAAAAATATAAAAAAAATAACAACCCAACAAACAGCAAAAATACCGAACCAATAAAAATGAAACAATAAAACAATAAAATCAAACCCAAACGTCTTATTTTGTATGTGATGTAGAGAGCGTTGTGTGTGGTTACTCTGAGATGAAGGGATGTGGAGACGTTCATTGGTTGAGATATTATACAAAAAAAATAATTTTATTTTTTGTTGCTCAAAATGTACAGAGGTACTGACATGGGTGATTTTTGCATTTAGGTGATTCTTAGGTCAGGAGATCTTGTTATAGGATGATAATTGGGTCGGGTGATATTGTTGTAGGATAATAATTAGGTCGGTAACTCTTGTTGTAGGATAATAGTTAGGTCGGGATGAATTATTGTAGGATAATATTTAGGTCAGGGTTATAATTGTCATGGCAGATATTTTTGTAGTATAATAATTAGATCGGGAGATCTATTTGTAGGATAATAATTAGGTCAAGAGTTATTAATGTAAGGTAATAATTAGGTCTGGAGGTATTATTGTTGGGTGATAATTGTTTCGGCAGATATTTTTGTGGGATAATTATTAGGTGGGTAGATCTTGTTGTAGATGATGTTACGTAAGATGTCTTGTTTTTGGATTATAATCAGATCGGGTAATCATGTTGTAGAGTAAAGGTATTCAACATCTCTGCGTCATCGTGTAGACTAAAAGTTTTGAACACCTTGGCGTCATAAAGTGTCCACTCTTTGAAAGCAGGATGTAAGGACACGAAGGACTTCACAAAGTGGCTGGGGGCTGAAGCACAGTATTTCTTTTAATCACTGCTGACCGGGAAGTTCTGTCTAATTGTCCGTCTGGTGGTTAATCTACAACAGCTGACCCAAAATATTGTTTCTCGGGGTGGTGGGGGGAGGTGCTCTGAACAAGGGATTTGCTAGTGGGAAGTAATCCGGTCTTGATCGGCACAGTCACGGTTGTGAAGAAGGGACCCCAGCTTTAAATACAAACGTCGTCACAAGTTGGGGAACGACTCGATGAGAGAGTGCAATTTTTAATCTTGATTAAGAAGATACAATTCTATTCCATTAAAGCAGTGACAAATAAACGCTTCGACTGTTGGATACAGAAGAAAAAAAATAAATAAAATAACGGTCTTATAAAACATTATATCGACTAGTAATAACATAGTTAAATTGGAAAATGTCATACACGTTGATCGCGTTGGATAGTTTCAATTGTATCCACGCACTTGCTGACAACATTTGAATAACACGCGTGTTGTCTTTTATTACATGCAGTAAAAAAAAATGGCTACCGGTAGCATAAATTTGAAAATGTAGCCAAGTCACGTAATTGTCCATTTGATTTTGTTTTGAATATGAATGTAAACTAGCTGCACGTTGAGTGTTAATCAGTTCTTGCTCAAGTTGGAAATATGTAAAGAGTGTAGTTCTGCTGGGATATCGCTGCCATAGTCAACAAATTCCTGGAAAAAAATTAAAAAAACATGTGTAAACATTTTCAGCATTAACGATTGCGATTGTTTCTTAAGAATTTTTTGTACCTAAATTTATATTAATTTTCAAATCGCACTTTGAAGAAAAAACGTAATTTTGTAATAGAATTAAACAAATTATCATCATAAATCTGAAGTTTGTGGCAAACTACTTAGGTTTTAACTTGTGTACAATCTTTCAAATGGTGGCACGGGGCTAAAGCACTATCACTAAAATTCATGCACCTTGAACGCTCAGTTGTATTTTGATTTAATTCAATTTTGATTGAGAGAAACATATTATAATAGTTTTATTTAAAGAAATACAGCTTAGTCAATCTAACTACAAGCAGACTGGCGTGCTAGTAATGGACTTCGGCAAAGGCATTTGACCGGGTGAATCATAGTTTGCTTCTACACAAACTCCAGAGATATGGGATTCAAGGCACCACTAAAACATGGATCTCTAGCTTCCTCAGCCACCGACGCCAAGCAGTAGTGGTGGGCGGTACAAGCTCCTCCTTTGTCGATGTGAAGTCAGGGGTCCCCCAGGGATCAGTCCTGGGCCCCTGTTTGTTCCTAGCATACATTAATGACCTACCCGAGAAACTGACATCACAGGCAAGACTGTTCGCAGATGACACAGCAGTGTATAGGACGATCGCCAACAGATCTGACCAGGACCAGCTACAACAGGATCTCAATCTGTTAGCTGAGTGGGAGATGAGCTGGGACATGGAATTTCACCCTGCCAAGTGCCAGACACTATCAGTCTCTAGAAGTTGTACTCCTCTACACTACCAATACGAACTGCACGGCCATATACTTGAGCAAGTTTCCTCCGTAAAGTACCTGGGTGTTACCATTCAAAGAGAGGTCCGCTGGGACGAGCATATTAA